GCTGGATGATGAGGATTTTAATTTTTTGCATGGAAACGATCGAAATAGTTCTGGCAATAAAAAATAAAAAGATGTATTAGCTAATCATATAGCTGAACTTGTTGGGTATTATATGTGTTGCTGGGTTTACTTTAGTGCAAACAATCATGTTTTATACATCCTTTTTATGTGTGCAAAAATCTTGTTTTGTATAGTAACCAAAGCTGTCAGATATATTGATTACTGTAGTAATGTATTACTTGATCATGATTATACAAGACCAAACTAAGTCTAGGTTTAGTCTTTAACATCTTTTTATGAGATGTCTTTCTTGAGTCATATATATTTGTGTGTACTGTTTGATCTCAAGAATGGGGCTACATTAAATATGTTCTCTATACTGCCTTTTCATGTGCAATAACAGTACATTGTAGAGAAACCAGCTTACACAAAACTATGGCTTGATTTTGCTCAAATAATGAAAACTGTGTTGTCAATTCTCTCCGTCTCCCCAGAATGGCGAGGTGGATCCAGCGGTCAAAGCTTTGGAAGCCAGGCAGGATGAGATCTTGAGAAAACTGTACGAGCTGAAAGCAGCGGTGGACGGCCTGGCCAAGACGGTGACCACCCCCGACGCCGACCTGGACCTGACGGTCAGCAGCAGCCTCTCCTCCCAAAGCCCAAGCTCCACAACCTTCACAGGAGTCACCAATCTGGACACACTACTTGGCAAGGTAAGAAGCTGGGGATAATACTAGTAAGTTCTGTATCCAGGTATTATTGAACACCGTGTAGTGATGCCAGAACGTATCCTTCATAAACTGAAAGTATGCATCGTTCTTTTGCAAATAACATAGTTTGACTTACTTTTTCTCTGAAGCTGTTTTTTCTTGATTCACTGTAACCTGAAAAACCTGCTCATATTGGAATTTGTCTTGACGCACATTGAGGGTGTGGACTGATTACTGCCAGTTTGTGCAGGCTGTATTGGCCTAGTGAGAGCAGACAAACATTGTACTACTCTATTTATTTTCGATGCTACACCTATTTACCTCCATTATCTTTTTTTATGTCACAAGGACCTCGGCGCTCTCCGTGACATCGTCATAAATGCCAACCCAGCACAGCCCCCCCTCACCCTGCTGGTGCTCCACAGCGTGCTGTGTCAGCGCTACCGGGTGCTCTCTACGGTCCACGTCCACTCCTCAGTTTCCAATGTGCCGCCGCAGCTCCTGTCCTGCCTCGGCCCGCGCCATGCAGACAGCTATGCCCGCCAGATGTTCCAGCTGGGCTTCACCCTCATATGGAAAGATGGTAAGGCACAGTGAGAGAGGCATGTGTTACAGGATGAACTCAAGTGCATCAAAACTGCTCAAATATGGTAGTAAATAAAAAAATAAAATATATATATATATTAGGGGTGTAACGGTACACGTACCCGTACCGAAATTATTCGGTACGGGCCCTTCGGTTCGGTACAGGTGTGTACCGAAGTGTACCGAACGAATATAACGTTAAACGTAAAAAATTGAGAACGTGAATAACTTTTTGGAAGTAATCTCAGGTGCTGCGTCGCAGCATTCAGAGTAATTTGCTCACATTGGGTTCAACGCGTCATAGAGCGAGCAAGTCATTTCATTGGATGAGATGCATACTATGAGAGCTGGTCAGAGGGATGCGTTCAAATTTAGTCAGTAATTTGAGGAACTGTCAAAAATTAATGGCGAACGCAGATAAAGTTGAGCTCGAAAATCCTCCAGCATCATTGAAGTCTCCGGTTTGGGAACATTTTGGTTTCGCAGTTACGTACAAGGATGACGGACAAAGACAGGTGGACCGAACCAAAGCTGTTTGTCGGCATTGTTCAACTAACATTGGTTACGCGGCTGGCAATACATCAAACTTGCACACTCTTGAAAAGGCATCACCCGAACGTGAATATCACCGGTACCAAAAGAAAAAAGACTGAAGTGCAAACCCAACTCCCACTAGCATGTAAGCCTCCACCACTCGCAGAAAGATCAGACCGAGCCAAAGCTATTACAAACACCAAATATCCTTATGTTGCCATGTTAGCAAAGCGCTACCTGGCTGTATCTGCTACCTCTGTCCCTAGCGAGAGGGTTTTCTCCACAGCAGGAGACATTGTTAGTGCCAGCAGATCTGCCCTTTCAGCAAGCAATGTGGACAAGTTAATTTTTATTTAAAAAAACATGAAATGACAAGCAAGTCCTAATGTCAAACTGGCTGCTTAGGTGCTAGTACAGTAGGCTACAGTTCAAATACAGATTATTTCAGTTCATCGAAATGCTGCACCTTAATGTTTATTTTATTATATTTTGTATTTATTTGAGTGAATACATTATTCACAGTTTAATAATAATAATAAAAAAATATATATATATGTTTTGTGAAAAAAAATTCTGCTGTACCGAAAACGTACCGAACCGAACCGTGACCAAAAAACCGAGGTACGTACCGAACCGAAATGTTTGTGAACCGTTACACCCCTAATATATATATATAGCCAAAGTTAATTGGTTTCCTTTTAATATGCTGGTTCATCGTTTGTCTGCCATTTCGGCCTTCATTGTACAAATGACAGCAAAAAGGCCAAATAGAAATTAGGGTGTGGGATTCTATTGGGTGTGTCTGGGGTTTGAGAAATATACCCTAGATACAATACCTTACTCTACCAAAGTAATAACTGTAAACAAAGAGTGAGGGACTTGATTCATTTACTTTGAGCGATAAGGAGGTAGAGCTTTTTCACTTTCTTTTGTGTGAGTAACTTTTGAAAGCGTAGAAACACACAGTCACAATTCATTTACAAACTAAAATAACTTTTGGGCTTTTTGCTGTGGAATATATAATGAGCCTTTTCTGACCAATATAGATAGCTTATAACATTACTTAAAATGTGAAAGCTCATGTTTTAGTATAGCCATGTCTAACCATTCCAAGCCTTGCTTTTATATTGTAAAAATGTGCCTTATTGACATGATCTGGCTGTGGTAAATGTTTGTGCACTTGTTAACCAGGAACCATGTCTTTCTTTTGCCTTATCCACAGTCCCCAAACTGCAGATGAAGTTCAGTGTCCAGAACATGTGTCCCATCGAGGGTGAGGCCAACGTGGCGCGGTTCCTCTTCAAGCTGATGTCCCCCTACCCCAGTGACGCTGCTCTCGCCACACTGGTGGACAGCTGGGTGGACATGGCTTTCTTCCAGCTGGCAGAGGGCAGTGCCAAGGAGCGGGCCGCTGTCCTGCGGGCCCTGAACTCGGCTCTGGGCCGCAGCCCCTGGCTGGCCGGGCAGGAGTTCTCCCTGGCCGACATGGCGTGCTATTGCTGCGTGTTGCAGAGCGGCCCTGCCTCCTCCACTCCCTCTAATGTGCAGCGCTGGCTCAAGTCCTGTGAGAACCTGGGACACTTCAGCCCGGCCAAGCCGTTTCTGCAGTGAATGGAGCTGGGACACCTGAAGGGTGTTTTTTCAGAGCAAAGTGAGAGAAGGGCATTAGAATATTAAAATATCCCAGCCATGTCTGGAACACCCTCTAATGCTTCCCTCCTTACTGTAACATATCACTGACAAAGACTCGGTAGAAACAATATGGTTGACAGGGAAAGTAAATTAAGAGTATATGTCGTCGCCATGCTGCTTTTGTATAACAAAGAGATTCTACGGCTATTTTTTGAAGGGAGGAAGCATGAGAGGACTGAAGAGACAAGGGCTTAGGGATTAAATCAAAAGTACTGACAGAATTAACACACACTGTACACCTTCCACCCACTTTGTGCCTAACATGATCCTGTTCTAAATGTGTGTGGGGATGGGTATTACTGTGTTTTTTTAAAGTAATACTTTGCAGCCTTTTTTCTGAAATCATTAAAAACTACAACTTTGGATCAAACTGTGAAATTGGTGCCTGGGATTTATTTTATTAGATCCTCAAGTTACATTTACTGAAGTGCACCCCTGTGTCCAACAGCTGGCAGTATTAGTGTTTTAAAAAATGAAGACAATTTTGTCATTCATACATGCTTATCCTATCCAGAGTCACAGAAGTGAAAGGTAGTGAAGCAGGAAATCTCATTTTTGGGAAAATCTCCGCTTCGCCTGGCTTTCATTGGATGAGAACATGCACATTAACACAGTAAGGACATAAGCGCAAACACACACTAAGGTTTGGGACTGACAATGAGCTAATCACTTTCATTTAATTGAAATGATTGTACTGCAAAAATGAAGTTTGCTGTTTTAGACCCAACTGTCATTTAGGGGCCGGACTAAACCATGAAAAGGAATCTGAAGAACTGCATTGATCACTTGAACTTGCTTTATCTGAACAACGTTTCGCTCCTCAGAACTTCCTCAGGTGAAATCCATGAAGACAAACAGCATCATGCAAATAGCACTATAAACATTATGGCTAGTCTAGTGAGAACAAGCCTCGAGCCATAATCAGCCATAGTCATTCCAATGAGGACGCCCGAGAGCCACATGTATGCATACAAGTGAAGTTATCAATGAGCTAAATAACAAAGGCTACATATTGCTACAGTGATATAAAAACATTTGATTAGGCTTTTTTGTTTTTACAGATTAGTCCCATATTTCACAAGGTAGCCTATGGTCTTACTAAAAGACTTTTGTAAAATGTGTTCTTGTCTTATTCCCCTATTGTGTATTGATTCAAAATGTATGATTACTACTGTAAGAGCTCAGTGTGGCGTTTCTTTTTATAAGCATACCGGGAAAGGTTGCTGGCGTCCTCTAATTGGCATTTGATTCCCGAATGAAAGCCTTTAGTATGGTGCTGTTAACATGGAAATGGTTGTCTAAAGATTTTTGCCTGATTGATATATAAAGACAGAAACGTGTGCTAACCCAGTTGGAGGGATGAACAGTGTGATGGATTCTTTGTTGTTTTTCCACGTCAGGTTTTTAGATTTTTTAAAAACCTCTCAAGACTTGGTTGTGTGCAAGAACAGTGAGACCTTAATGGAAACTTGACTTGAATATGGCGTCATACAAATATTTATTGATTTGGCCATGTTTCATAACAGTAATGCAGATATGACTGATATTCTGCAACCTTTCATATTGAGAAGCCTAGTATACATTAATGTTAAACGTGCTAGTGTACACAGACCAATACTTTTCTCAAGGTTGAAAAGAAGACAATTAAAAATTCTCGTCAAACAAAACCAGATTATTTAAAAAGTGACTTCAAGTTTGATTTAGTAGTCCAGCAGTTATTCACCCATGATTAAGCAAGGCAATTCTTTTTTTACCAGTTGACTGTATTTTACCTGTTTATCCATGTGCAAAACAACTGAGCATGTGTGTATCACATTGCATTTCTGCAGCAGCCCTTTAGCTTCATACAATCCTGCTTCCCCTATTGGCAACCTGTTGTTAAAGCTCTTTCTTCCCCTTATCAGCTGATGTGTTGTTGAATACAGTCCTTACACCCTGTCTCTCAAGTAGAACATACTTTTAGGAAGCAGTGAGGGCAGTTTAACTGTAGCCCACTGCTGGGGAGTTTTATATCTCTGCCTAAATCTCAGTGGCTTCAAAGAAAAGTCAAAGAAATACAGATAACTGGAATATATAAACATATAGGTTTCTACATGCACTGATGTTGAAAAGAAGAAAAAGAAAATCCCAAGGCGATTCATACTCTCTCAGGGCCGACATCTTCAGAAGTGTCGTGTTTTTGACAGCTCAGGTCCACACTGCCTGTGTGTGTGTTTGTATGCTCTGACATCCTCCTGCTGGTCTCCAGGCAGCTGTCTGACAAAACAAACACTCTCAATTGACAGCTGGACGCTCAGTAAGGAATACACTCGGGACTCTGCAGCAATGGGATTTCTGTAGTTTGTGTGCTCTGAGGCTTCTTTGAAACAGTATCTGCTGATGCACTTTTGGCTTAAGGCAGCCGACCCAAACGTCGCTAAAAAAAAAAGCACGACAGACAAAAAAGGGCTCTTTCCTTGTCTTTTTATATATGATATAAAACAAACAGACAGGAGATGCATTCTCATTGAGCACCTGTAGAAAAAAACAAACCTAACTGAAAGAGGAACTCACTTGGGTTAACAATAACAATAGCACAGCTAGAAAGATGCTTTTGTCACATTAGATCAGTCCTTGAATGTCATTCTCTGTGATTGTCAACAAATATATTTCACGAGGCCCTTCAGACAGGGAGATATACACTATGACTATTAAAAAAGATAAGAGTAATATTTAAAAAAACACATCTGGGCTTAATTGTCTGAAATGAGATATTACTAAGGGTTTATCAGTAATGACTTTCTTTGAGCACAAAATGGTTTTGATTTTGAATCAATTAAAAGGCTGAGCGAGAGAGTCACCGGCAATGTGTTCACTCAGTGGCCAAAGTACACACGTTACTGTTGTATCTCAGGAGCTGAATGCGTTCGAAGTAATCGTCGGTCAGAAAGTTTCTCTGTGAGGTGACCAGGTTGCCTTTCTGACTGAAGAGACGCTGGATGGGGGCCGTGGATGGCAGAGTTGTGTTGTATTTTAAGAAGAGCTGCTTCATTCTGGGGAAGTCCTGAAGGCACTCTAGGCTCTTCCCCGTTCCTTCCACATACTTGCGGATCTCCTCCATCACTCCCCGTTGCTGGATCTGAATGGCAGGCTTCACAGACCCGTAGCTGAAGAAGTCATCCTCAGTTTCAATGGTGTTTGATGAGCTTCGGCTGGTGTTTGGCTCAGTTATGGTGCCTGGATCCATCTGGGCTGCCTCTGTAGCCAGCACGGCGCACATCTCCTCTCTGTCGGAGGCAGCCATCCACAGCAAACGAAACTGAGGCGTCGTCGCTGTTGCAATCTTAGCTTCTGTGCTGGCGAACAGCTCCTGGAACCGCAAATCAATAGCCACCACGATGGCGTTGATGACCCCGCTTAAGTAGGTTGCAGAATCTTTCTGCTCATTTAGCTTGTTCTTCAGACTGAGTATGGTCGGGATGACTAGACCCAGGTAACATTTCTGCTCTGCTTGGAAAAGTTCAAGTGCAAAAGCGAGCGGGTGGAACACAGTCACGTATTCTTTCAGGAAGGCCATCTCCTCTGGCTGCATGCGTGGGACCTCCAGGCGGGCGCACAACTCTGTCAGCTCCCGCTCAGAGAGGGACACAATCTTCTGCACAGCACAGTACTCCACATTCCAGCGTATCACAGCTGGAACAACAAGCGCCATCTTTCCAATCTCCTCTGCTGAATCCATACCGACCTGGAGATGGTGGCATTTGTTCCAGACGGCGTACACCTTGGCCATTGTGCTGTAATGTAGCTGGCACATGGGCCCCTGGGACACAGCCTGCCAGAAGTCCTCAGTGACTATCAGCTCCAGGGTGTGTGAGGCACAGCGCTGTACAGTGGGCAGAAACAGGAGCATGTCCTGCTCTGGCTCACCCTCCAGGACGGTGCTCACGTTCTCATAGAAACCGATGTCATCATCACTTTCCTTGCTGTCCACTGCAAACTCCCTGAACACGCTGATGAAGGGGCTGCCATTATCAGTGACCGTGGTCTGAACTTTAGTTTCAATATTGTACGCCACGTGGATGTCATGTATGCGTCCAGCGATGGTGTCGTGCGTGATTCTGCCCTGCAGCCGTGCAAACCCCAGAGCCGCAGATTTCCTCTCCAGAGAATGTTTGTCGATCCAGTGGCAGGTCATCCCGAAGAAGCTCCTGCTGTTGGCTGTCCAGATGTCAGCCGTGGTGCACACATACTGGATGCTGCTGAGTTTCTCCATCAGCTCTTCCCGCATCCTGGAGAAACCCTGGTCCACCTTTGTGAACAAGGTCACTCTGTCCATGGACCTAAGCCCTTCAGTTAAGCCTGCAACCAGCTTCCTGAATCCAGGTTGCTCCAGCACGTAAAATGACTGGCAATCCTCCACAATGAAGTTGAATATCAGCTCATCGATTTTTGTTTGGGTCATGCATTTGGAGATTATTTCTGCTTTTAATTTTTTGAGTTGGCAGTGCCTGCTCTCCTCACCGTTATACTCTTCTTTCTTCCTCCCCCTCTTGACATCAGGCTTGGCTTCACAGCCCAAGTGTGTTCTCTGCAAGACAAAACGCCAACATGTTAGTGGTGGGAGGCGTTTAATTTTTTCTTGTGAGTTTTATGTTCTGAGTTTTCATTTAACTTCATATGCAATGAAAAAAACGAAAAAATACCATGTTTTTTCATCAAAGTTGAACACAAAGAGCCTCCAACGCCTGGAGTATGTAATGTACATGCAATGTAACGTTATTAATCACGAGGGTAGCTCTGCATTCATTGACGCTTTCAAACATTAACATAAAGGGGAACGGGAAGTCATCTGACTCTGTGTAACTTACGTCTAAATGCTTCTTTAGGTTTGATGTGGAGGTTTTCGACGTGGATAGCAGATTTACCCTCGGCAGACATAGATTACACTGCACGATGATATTTTTTCCTTGATCTGCCTTGTACGTGAAATGGTGGCGATAACGCCAAGTATGCATGGCCGATTTGATCTCGACGCTGCTTTCATTGTGATCAACCTCCAATTCGGAAATCATCTCTGCTGTTACTGACGTCTTGAAATATAATAAAAGTAGCGTAATCCGATTTAGTAATCGTGATTACACGTAAAGTAACGATTGCGGTAGAGAAATCCTCCTGAAAAGGGGCAGGCCTTTGTTCAGATGTTGCATAGAAAAGCAACAAGGAGCAGACTCTGATGTCACGCACAGGCGCATTGACAGTCCGCCATATCCATTGAGAGAATCGGCACCGTATAGCAATGCGCATGCGCGTTATACACCGGGGCACCTTTACCGTGACGTCACTGCCCATTCCTTGTGATTTTCTTTCTCAGACTCATGGTAATGCATCTCTGGTAGTACTTTTACCACCGTTTCCTTTTTTCTCCAGTGCTGCTGCGAATTTGCGCCACCATCAGGGCTGCGGAAGTTAAAACGCCACTAGATGTTATATTAATGAATTCAATATATCAAAAACAATCCTCTTATAGTTCATAGGTTATACAAATAAAGAAAGCATTGTATGACCGTCTGATCTACAAGCAGTAAATAGCCATATTAGGAAAAATGTATTAAGACTTTCATAATTACCAATATTTTTCATACACTATCAAATATAAGTTTATAAAAGGTTTAAACCTGTTGGCTTCAAAAACTGTTGGCTGGTTTTATAGACTTTTATCAAGTGAAAAGCGCTCTAAATAAAAAATGTAATGAATTATTATTATTATTATTATCTCTCCTGCATTAGACCTTCTCAAACTGATGATATTTAAATGTCTATTTACCCACTCAAAAAATGTATTTCTCTGATTTAAACTTTTCTTTGAATACAATGTGTAGATGTTTTAATTGTATCATCTGAAAATGTATTTTACTATAGGGTCTCGTATATCTAATAACAAAACAGAAACAAATATTATTTGCTTTAAAAAAATAATATTTGAACTGAAACCCTCTGAGAAGAGGACATTTATGGATCTTTAACTTAGTTGCGGAAGAAATAATAGATAACATATGTAAACAAGCACACCAGCATACGTTTTAAACTATGCCTTTAAGGGATTTTTTAAGATTAAATGAAATTAGCATTCTTGTGGTGTTCACTCATTCACCTTTTTTTAAATTATGTAACTTTTAATTTTTTATTATATTTGTTTTATTATATCCTAACTTAGTATATCCTTTTAAAATGCATGTCACATATTTAACATAATGTAACATTAAGCTGTCTGTGGCTCTTTTTCCTGCTGTAACTATGCACATTTCCCCTCAGTGGGACTAATACAGGTATTCTGATTCTGATTCACCTGACAGAATGGAATGCCCTCCTAAATTACTGCCTTTTTAGAAATACAAGAGACAGATCCACTGAGGAATAGTTGGCTAGAAGTAGAAACAGCTTCACACATACATTTTCATCACTCCTGCTCAGACTACTTAGCCATGCACTGTTTTATTTTATTATCAGGACATTCTCAGGTGGTTTGCTTTTTGAAAGCTGTTCTTCTATGTTTCACATTCTAAATTGACAAGCACAAAAAATAGCTTTTTTTCTAAAATGAACTGCATGGGGTGAATAAATCTGCCTGCTGGTTGTATTTCTGCTGAAACCAGACTGGCAGAACTATTCAGAGATGTTTTCTATCAATCCAGAGGCAGCTTGCCAGTCTAAGCCATCAAATAATGTGTTTCCCGGGCTAGTTTGAAACCTTCCATCTGGCTCAGAGATGAAGCATGTCTATAATCTGGTTTTCACATGGGCATAATTGGCCATTTTTGCATGTTTAATAAACCATTTTGTGAGCTGCATGATCAAAGTAAGAATCAGGGGAAGGAAATGTTTGTGTAAGTATGGCTGAGCACTGGAAAATGTGTAAGTTATTCATTATTTTCCCTCAGAATGTTACATTGATTTTGTTCAGTAATGAGACACACGTTGCTAGTCAAGCCTTTTTTGGCTGTGCAACAAGTATCTACCTCAGAATCAGAATAACTTTTATTTCCAAGGTTTACACACAAGGAATTTGTTTTGGTAAAAGTGGTGTATACGAGACACAGAAGGAACGCAACCACAAATAAAAACAAATAGTATATACAAGCTAAGACTATTGCAACAAATGAAAAATAAAGAAAATATTTACACGAAATATAGTTATGTGGGAAACTGAGTGCAGTAAAATGTAATCAAATATGACAATACTATATATTCAAAGTTGAGTGTTATGCTGATTTAAAAAAAGAGGTAGCATGGAGCAGAAATGTGCAGGATTTAAAATATTAAAAAGAACAAGATATTGTTTGCATGGTGTGATGTGCATTAATGTATTTAATTAAACTATCCCTCAATCCCTCAACCCCTCAATCCGGCCATCCATCCATCTTCTATCCCTAGATTTACTTTGGATATGCTCTCCTGTAAAGATCTTGGGAAATCCTTAGTACCTCTGTGATTTACAGTGTCATGCATGCACACAAGCATCTAATTGCTTTTCTAATGCTCTGTTCCATGGGGATTGTTGTTTGGCGTTAGTGCACCACAGAGAAGCACCCTTGTGTCAAAGTCTGTCATTATTTCAATCCCCAACCCCCATCATCCTTGTGACAGCTGACTCAGAATTAGGTAATACTCAGCTTCTGAATTCAGTGGAGAGTATCCACATGTCTCAGCTGAGAGACTTGTACATATTTATTCCCCAAAGATTCCACATGTTTTAAATTCATTAGTGATCCAATTGTACATTTTAATGTCTCAGATGTTTTCTTTCTTTGTTCAACAGCACCTTCATTGGTTAGATTTGGCAAGGGTGGGGTCTCACTTTGGAGCCATTGACGTATCCTCTTTGGCAATGGCTTTTAACAGAGGCGTAGTCAGTGTAGGAACAGAGAAAAGTGTTTTTTTGGGCGAAGATAAAGGGGATAAACGGAATACTGAAGTGGTGAAGAGGTTTGAAGGGTTCTGAATTTGTACACGATGTTGCAGTCGTGTTTCCAGGCGCGCTTAAAACCTGTGTTGAGCCTCCGGAGTGGGCACAGCTGGTGTCATCTCACTTTTACCGCTGCAAGTATGTTTTGAGCATCAAGTGAGCGTTTCAGATAATATCCCTGCTCCTTTTCCCTTTCTTTGTCTGGGCTATAGTTTCTTTTTAAGCAGAGGAGCAGAGAGGGACGCACCTAAACCTAAAAGTATGACCAAAGCTTCCGCGCCCTGACGCGCTCCTCTGAGCGCACGTTGGACCGGTGAGCGTATGGACTAGTATGAAGCGCTATGGCTTGGTGTGACCGCGGGGTTCAAACGCTGCTGGCCAGCTTCGGGGCTTTCGCTGCCTTCAGCCTGATGACCATCGCAATCGGCACGGACTACTGGCTCTATTCGCGGGCGTACATCTGCAACAGCACCAATGCCTCATCAGACGAGAGTCAGTCGCAGCCCAGAACCAAAAAGGGCGATCTCACCCACTCCGGGCTGTGGAGAATCTGCTGTATTGAAGGTAAGCCTGTTTCAGGGCTACTCTCATTGAGGTTCATATAGGCGTTAACATGCGGAGGGCTCTACGTGGTGGTTTGCTTGGTTCCCTGTTCTTTTATCACAACAAATAAGGAGGAATGTTTGGTTCCTCAGTGCGCACAAAAGGACGAACTCTCTTTACGCACGCCAACATGTCTTAATTGGAAGATGTAGAGAAACAAATCAAAGATCATACAGGTGGAACAACTTTCAGAGGATATAGATCACAGACACATGATGATTTAAACACAGATAAAGTAGCTGATTAACAAGAAAACAGCGGCTGGTGTCCCGCAAAGCGCTCATCTCAGGCTGCCTGCCAACTGTTACATCGCATTGTTGTAACATATGCCCACACAATAAACAAGGCTGTGTTAAAGTCTGTAACAGTATGCGATGCCAAGCCGGCGCGCCTGCGAGCCCATTCACATTCAAGCCGGAAATGTGTGCGCTGTTATTACTTTCATTCATGTCTTCATTGTATCCAATGCTGTTGCTTGGCAACATCCCTGAAATTGCTATGGAAACATGCCCGGTGATATCAAAATAGATGACTCTGGGTTCACGTCATGTCCAAGCAAATTAGAAAGAAAAACTAATTATTTTTGAGTGGTCCAATTTCATGTTGTTGAATCCTTTTACGCGTTTGATATTGGGAAAGGAGGTGAGCTGACGGTGACGTTTTACTTCAGAGGCAGACAGGCGCTCATTCATAGAGCTCCTTCCGGAAAACCCATTGACTTCTCGCTTCAGATATCAAAGAGTGATTTGATGTGACTGTATTTTGTCATATCTCGACGGAGATATTAATAGAAAAATATGTAGTGGTTTAATTAAAGCAAACAAAGTAAACTCACAGCTTTTCAGAATGTGTCTGAGACAGTTTGGAAGTACAACCAAAATAAGATGTAAGTAAATAATTTAACAATACAGTTGCAAACATGGTGTTCCTTGTGTGTGCATGCTACTAATGTAATTTAATTTGAAACTCTATACAAATACATCATGTCATGTTTAGAAAACGGCCAGACATTCAATTCAGCTATTACAAGATACAGAGACATGTTTATACAGGAGGAGGTGTCCAGATGCAGCTGATATGAGATAGCATTATTGTCATATCTGGAACATTACATCAGTTACTAAACAGAAAGACATTTGATCATTTTCTTTTGACTGTCTAATTGATTGATGACAAAACATTTATGCATTACAATAAGTTATTATGTTTTCTTTCTTTGCCCAAAAAAACAGCGGAATTGATATATAATACTTATACATAATATACATAATACTATGAGACAAACATACTGCGCAGAAACTAGATACTTCTATAAAATAAAACTTGCTTATATTTGATGTCAGATCAGGAGCCTCTCAATAGGTGGATTGGATTGAGCTCATTATATTTTCAAGACATAATGTCATCAGGGCCCAGGGAGCTGTCATCAATGATTAAACTGTTGCAGGAAGATGGACGCTTCAGAGACGTGAAGCAATTTCCTGATGTGTTATAACTCTTTACAGTTACTAAGAGTCTAAAGAGTGCACCTTTCTGTGATGTGGACAGACTCACAGCGTGCAAAACATCCTCTGAGACCTCAAGAAATGAAAAATAAATGAGAAATACCAGCCAACAAATATGTCTTACCTAATTTCCCATCAGCTTTGAAGTAAATATTGAAGGTGGATTAATAACTGTGGAGACTAAATTACTGTTGATGAGGTTGGGGCTCTGAGACTTTGAGTGCATAATTTGCACAAACGAAGGCTGGCCCATAATATGATTGTCTCTAATAGTTTCACCTCTGTGCCTCTGCTTGAAAACTACAAGAAGCTGCTGGACGCTGGCTCTGTTGTCATGGAGACACCTAATTATAGAGGAGAAGAGGAAGGAAGACTTACCCCCCCTCGACACACACACATACACACACACACACACAGACACCCCCACATAATGACAAACACAGCTACTGGGGGGAAACATCTCAACATTTGACTGAACAGCTTTCAGCGACAACAAACTGCTGTAACACAATGCAATGTGTTAGTGCTTCCAGTCGCCCTGCTCTACAGGAGTCACCTCTTCTCCAGCAAGCCAGCGTGAGGCTCCTTTACAGTGGGGTCAGCAAAACCCCCACTTATGCAATTTACAACAGCTGTTTTGCTCTCCCCCCTGCACTTCTTGTTGTTCCTTATGAATGTTGTAAGGTCAGGGAGGCACTGAATGCTCCTAATTGCATCAGAATCAGTAAACCATCAGAGGCTGTTACTTATGTGTGACTCAAGTACATAAAACCGACTTTGAGAAGGAGAAATAATCCAATTAGCAGGTATACTTTTACATTAAACATCCCAGCTCGCAGTGGTTTAGTGTGAGTGTCGAGGCATGGGGGGCATTGGGAGTGTTTGAGAGAAAGGTTTTGTTTTGGAGGGGTTTGGGGGGGGGTCACTTTTTCATTCCCACCATGCCCACCATAAAGTGTGACAACTGAGAAGCAATGCGGGGTCACTCATTGGCCATCAGGCCCCCACTTTCACCTCAGCGACTCCCCCTCTCTTCTCTCTCTTCTAATCTCTTTACAGGTTCAACTCCTCCATTCTCATAATTATTTTATGGGTTTCATTCTACTTTTTTAATGAACCCTGTCACCCTGTTCTTACCTATGGTTCTTACCCACGAACTTGCCTCCTTTAATTTAGTATGCATTCATTTATTTTATTTTCTTCTTTTAAACAAAGTATATTTCTATCACCTATGCAAGCCATATTTGCCGAGAACCTTCACAGAAAAGTTTTGGAAAATAGCTTATTGATATTCTTGTTAAAGGGGACCTATCATGCAAAATGCACTTTTTGATGTCTTTTATACATAAATATGTGTCCGCGGTGTGTCAGGGAACTCACGCAGCGTCAGAAAATAAAACCCTCTCTTAACAGGTGCTGATGAACAGATAACCTGAGGACAGAGCCAGGCGTTCAATCTGAGTTTAATCTAACACTCTAAAAGAAAGCGAATGTGTGCTTCCCAAAGGTCTTTTTTTACTGATCCACGCTCAGACATAACAACTTAAGCATTCTACTGAGAATTCATTATATATGTACATTTGAATAAGTAAGTGACAAGGCAAACCGTTTTGACAACAGACTACATACACTACACCCAAGCAGATCTGCGTTTGAAGAAATCCCTGCATGGTGAGAATTTAATTAACTAACTGTCAGTCATGTCAACACCAAATAGCTTATTTTGTCATTTATTTTTCTTTCATCCTCACTTGGGCTTCGAAAAAAATGGGAGGGGTTTGTTTGATTTCACAGTGGCTTTATACTTGGTATTGGCATTCCCTGCCTCCAAAGTAATAAATGCATGTGAAGTCTCCGTGAGCTGTGCTTGCATGTCTGCATTTGATATGAAGCCCCAGACAGCGACAGTGCTCTACCTGTTTACAGCTTCATAACCACCTGCTGTAAACTCAATAAAGCATCAAAGAGAAAAACAAAGCAGAATGTGGTTACATCGTTGCTACTCCTTTTGCTGTAGATCTGTCATAAGTAGTCTTACAGAAAGTGTATCACCCACTGGAGGATACCCAGTTATAGTGAACTGCAATATGAAAGTCACTTCTGATTGGCTTATTCGTTAATCTATTTGCAGAGCCATTAAGGTGTGAAGGCTAAGAAGTGGGGGCATGTGTCTCGTGGAGCTTGTTGTCATGATATACTGCACTCACACCGGAGTCTGCTGTTGGTCTCGATGAGACAATGCTATTGGTGTATTCCACCGAGGCTGCTCCCTTATTGGCTCTGCAGTCCTAATTCAAAGTAATGAGGATATGCATCATCCTGTTGCCAGTGGCACTACAGCTGCTACCAACCCACAGTATATGTGTGTGTATGTGTGTGTCTGTCTGTGTGTGTGTCTATGTGTGTACACGTGTTTTAGCTGGCAGTCATACTGTTAAGTGACAAAGGGGTTTACCAGGGAAGTGCCTTCTCCTACTTGGTAATGTTCAAAATAGAATGAAGACGTCAAAAAGTATCCTCGGAGATAGTTTATGTAAATGAGCTTAGGCTACCAGCGGTTGCCATGGCGAAGAGGATGTGATGATCAGCATGTAGCTTTGCAACTCAAGACCAAGAAACCCATTATTTCCCATTAATGTTGTGAGTGTCAGATTCATTCTAAATATTTCACAACCCAAAAAAAAGAAAAACACACACAAGGCAGGCTCCTTTTCCACTTTCACAGATTATACATTGCACAACTGTCCTCTGACCCCTATTGCACAACATTTTAAAACACATTTAGCCCTATATTGATCTATCTACCTTTCATGATTTCCCTGCTCTCCTCCTCTGACTGAGTCCTACTTTATTGGCCTTCTATATTTTCCTTCATCCCCATCATTCCCTTGCCCCCTGTGCTTTCGTTGTTTAATTTCCTTCTTCCCTCGTTGAATCTCCGCGCCCTCCCTCCTCCTTCCCTCCCAGCTAGTCAGTATTCAGACTGCAAGGTCACACACACACACACACACACACACACACACACACACACACACACACACACACACACACACACACACACACACACACACACACACACACACACACACACACACACACACACACACACACACACACACACACACACACACACACACACACACACACACACACACACACACACACACACACACACACACACACACACACACACCACACACACAACACACACACACACACACACACACACACACACACACACACACACACACACACACACACACACACACACACACACACACACACACACGGCTGAAGTAGCTGGGGTCTGGAGTCAGAGCAGTAAAAGGGAATATCAAAGTAATAGAAGTGTTCTGTGTTCATGGTGAACTGTATGTGCATGTCTAAAATATGCTCGTTTTGCTGCAGCTGATTTAGTGTTTACACAGACATTAGCAGGACAGCAAAGGTGCCAGTATTGTTGTTATCTTCACAGTTCTTGATCCAACCACAGGAGCCAGATGTGTTTTTTTCACACGTCTCAAAGTCTCACACCGTTGCTTAAAATAATCCACAGCAATTTTGTACATCAGTGATTAGACACAGAAACTCTTGCTCTATTTCCACTGACTGATTTGAAGCTAATTCATTTGATGTCCCTTATAAGGCAATAGACCTAGTTAATGGAAGCAAGCGTGCCCTTAAAAGCTGTGTCACAGACGATGATGGCTGTTGACCCTTTGACACCTGGGAAATGGAGTTGACAGGTGTCTGTCTGTCTCGGACACAATTAGTTACGGAAAAGGTTGACATGTATTTCATGGTTGGTCATCAGCTCTAATGTCTGCTGCCTGTTAGCCCATTAGAGAGGAAAATAGGACTTTGTATTTCTTCTGACATGGGACAAGAAATGCATTGCTTACAGAAAAAGGCAAAGCTAAGGATTGACTCTTTCCTAAACTCCTCACAACTGCCACCAAGAAGTGATTATTTAGCATTTAAAGAAATGTATTGGTGTGACCTTTGTCCCCCACAAAATTAAGTTCACATACTCCCTTATTGCATTCTTAATCCGACCAATATTACGTTTGCACATGGTAAATGTTTTAAAATGAAAAAAACAAAACAATAATCACACAGGACACAAACAGCAGTCTCCTCTTCCACAAATTACGATAAGCAACGTATTTGTAAAACATACCAAAATTAATGTAATCAGAAAAGAGACAATATCTTTTGACAATGCAGTATCGTTTTTTAGAAACTTACATTTTAGGAGAATAGGCTGAACTTATAGGTCCTTGTGACAAAGGTTTTATTTTAATGAGGTACCTGTACTGTCCTCAAGGAGAGGCCATTTTAAACTCAGCTAACATTAGCTTAATTAGAAGGCTAGGTACAGCCATAATGTGAAGCCTGATTTTGCCCACCTAAATGTGAAACCAAAGTCTTATTTCAAGAGGAAAATGCCACCATGGTAAAATGCATTATGTGCTGTGGAAACCCAATGCTTGACAGACGTAGCAACAGTAACTAAGGCTGGTGTGTCAGTGTCACCTGTTTATCTCAGGGATGCAGACAAACGCAAAGATACGCACATGATGCTCACAAAAAAACGAACATATGCAAATGAAAAATATGCAAATGTAATCACAGCCCAGCCCCTCTTTGATGCTGTGGTTGTCGCTTGCAGAAATAACTAAAGTGGTTATTCACAGCCCAAATGATGAGAGTCAAAGAGCTCCCAGCATTACCTCCAATACACAGCGTGCATCCATTAACCCCACCCCCAACCCTTTTTTCTCTGGGCAAAGTGTTGTTTATTACCCTGCACAATTACGGATACAGTTCCCCCCCCCCCCCCCCCCCCCCCCCGCTCTCTTAGTATCCCACCCGCCACTCCATTTCCCTTTCTAACCCACCTCTGCATTAAAAGCTTCCTGCACACGGTCCTTTGTTGTTTGAATTGGCTTCCTGTCCCCACCACACTCACCCATTTACCTGAGCTGGATTTGGACACGCTCCACTAGCCATGAAGTCCCTCAGGGCAACGCATTTCTTATCTCACAGTCTAGCGTCTGCACTGATCCCAGACACACACAAACATAAGCCCTCCTCTCATTTGCTTTCTTTCTGAAATATGAGTGCATTGAGCTGTGATCTTTAGTAAAGCATTTTTAAAAAGTTTAGGCCGAAGGTCAAGTCTCATTGATGGTTGCAATGTAAAACCATTCAGAGTAATGGGTTAAAGCTATATGAATGGATCCAGTGTATGCCATCCAACAAAAGCTATGAAGGAGTCTATACAGTAAATAACTGAAATGACATCCTGGTGCTCCTGTATTATTTCTCAAGATACAGCTCTTTAGAGGTCCTTCGAGAAATTACTTCCTACTCCTTTTTGTCTTATCAGACGACAACATCACATGAGCATTTTACTCCATTGGACACAGTTTTACAAAAACAGGTTGCTGGAATAGTGAGACACTATGGCTCTGACTCCAGCACCCGAACACCCTTTATAAGCAGAACCTACTGGAGTTTGATGGATTTGCATCAAAATGTACCCTTTAACTTTTTTTTATTTCTTTTTTTATCCTAAATGTTGATTAGAGGGACCCTATTATGCTCATTTCTATATTTTCAGAATCAGAATACCTTTATTCGTCCCACAGAGGGGACATTTACATTTGTTACAGCAGAAAAGTGCCAAAGACAGCTTAATGTTTAACAAATAAGTATGAATAAAAAAGAAAAAAAATATTAAAGATAAAACAATAATAAAAAAGAAAGAATTACACAATTTAAAAAATAAACAATCTGTAACAGTTCTGAAGCAGCCATGTTGCAGTTATTCACGGCATATATATATATATATATATATATATATATATATAGCACATATTGCACATGGTTGGTATTCAACAACTCTTCTACGGTGACATTAAAGTATGTCCAAAAAGGTTTGCCTGTGCTGCACCTATTTTCTCCCTCTGTCTGAGACCAGAGCCCAGTCTGCTCTGATTGGTTAGCTGGTCTGCTCTGTTATGATGCTGTCATATCAACTTGTGGACTATAATTAATATGGAACATGTTTCTCTTTGTCCTGCAGGCATCAATCAAGGCAGCTGTTTCAGAATCAACCATTTTCCGGATGACAACGACTACGACACAGACAGCTCTGAATACCTGCTGCGTGAGTGCTCCCTTCTCCTCGTTGTCTGGCCCTCATCTTTCTTTATTTGTAAGGACATGCAGGAAGTCCACTGACCTTCATCCTCTTATTTTCTATCTCTGCGAGCAGCCTCCAAACAGACAATAAGCTTGATTGTGAAAGCACTTTGAGGGGTCTTAAAGACTAGAGAAGCGCTGTATGTCCTCCTTATAAACATTTAAAAAATAATTTAAAGGTCCCCTATTATACTGTGTTTCCTATTATACTGTTTTTCCTCAACATATTATGGGTCTCAGATATATACAAAACATGTCTCTGAAGTGTTTGGCTCCAAACACCAAACAGATCATTGTAGCATCCCATAATCCCCTCTGTTTCAGCCCTGTCTGTTACTTTAGATGAAAATAAGGAGCCCCTCCCCACGCCCCTCTGAGAGATATTTGGTTAAAAAGAACACCATGGTGTTCTAGGAGGAGATTCAGGTGATAAGGTGTGTGTGTGTGTGTGTGTGTGTGTGTGTGTGTGTGTGTGTGTGTGTGTGTGTGTGTGTGTGTGTGTGTGTGTGTGTGTGTGTGTGGGGGGGGGGGGTTACCTCATAAAGTGGCCAATATATGATCAGCTCATTTTCAGTTTTTATATAAATGGATCAGGTCAAAAGTGAGTGAATCTTTTTTCCTGATACTTTCAGAATGTCTTTACACAGAGGGGACACATGTTTATGTATAAGACATGAAAAAGTGGATTTTGCATAATAGGTGACCTTTTATCACTTATCCATTATGAACCATGTCGTGTCCTTTCTCCTCTGCCTCTGTAGGTATAGTTCGTGCCTCCAGTGTGTTCCCCATCATCAGCACCTTCCTGCTGATGTTCGGCGGGCTGTGTGTCGGGGCGGGTCGAGTTTACAACAAGACAAACAACGTCTTCCTCAGTGCAGGAATTCTCTTTGTAGCTGCAGGTGAGTGGCAGGATTACACTTGTCAGCCATGATCCCAGAGAGCAGCAAAGGCTGGGTTTTTATAATGGGCTAAGGCAGCTTGATGTGGCCCCTCTGATAACCTATCTTCATCAAGGGTGCAATCATATAGAACTGTATTCCCTCTGGAAGAAGGTCAGGGTCATGGACCCGACACACAAGTGATGAGGACACATGTTATTAGGGGTTACTGTAATGAGAGTCACTCAGTAATCACTGACTTACACAGTGGGAGTTCCTGGGATCCATTATTAATAGAGTCATGGCTCATATACAGTAGCTTTTTGTCATCGATGTGTGTCTTTATGGTTGTTAGGCCTCTATCCAATGGTTCTGTTTTCCCCTGATGTTGGTGTATCCGTCTTTCTGGTAAGGTTGTGTATCTATGTGTTAATTTCTATTTGATTTGCACTTTTTTGTAGTTATTTTTTGTCTGTGATTTGTCCCTTTTTGTCGTTTTGCAAGACTTTGTAGTCGTTATGCATCTCTGTGGTTTTGTGTCTCCTTGATGTGGTCATGTTGTGTCTCTATGTAGTTGTTTTGTGTAGCAGTTTATAATTGTTTGGGTCTTTTTATACTATTTGCCTGGTATCATTTAGTACATTTTCCTGACTTTTTATTTCATATCTCTTTGTACTTTTTTGTGTCCTTGTAGACTTTTTGTATCTCTGTGGTCATTATATATTTCTTTGTGAATTCTCTCTTCCTGTTTAGAACGTGTCTTTGAATATTATGAAGGTTAAGGCTGACAGGTCCTTTATAGGCCTTTCAATATCCATCCAACCTTCCCTTTCCCTGATTCTCTTTCTTGTCTGTTTCTTTTTTATCAGGTCTGAGCAACATAATAGGCATAATTGTCTACATCTCCAGCAATGCGGGAGACCCCAGTGATAAACGCGACGATGACAAGAAGTACACTTACTCTTACGGCTGGTCGTTCTACTTTGGCGCCTTGTCCTTCATCGTTGCCGAAACTGTGGCAGTCCTCGCCATCAACATCTACATTGAGAGGAACAAGGAAGTTCGCTGGAGGGCGCGGCGCGAGTTCATCCGTTCGCTCTCTTCCTCTTCCCCGTACTCAAGGATACCCAGCTTCCGTTATCGCCGGCGGACATCACACGCCAGCTCTCATTCGACGGAGGCCTCGAGGGAGAACTCTCCTGGGGCCGGTCTGAAGGGGAGGCCATCTTCCAGTGGGCCCCTGGACGAGCTGTCCATGTACGCGCTGGCGAGGGACAGTGTGACGGACAACACGTACAGCCCAGAACACGGGTCTGGTGCTGACTTCCTCCAGGTCCATAACTGTTTTACCACTGATTTAAAGGACGGGGTGAATCACAGGACCACACCGGTGTGAGGGACATGCTGCTGCTGAGTTGGAGGGTCAACTAGAAGTGGATGAACAGGAACTGATGAAAATGCAGTGGGTCTGTTGAAGCCTGAGTGCTTGTGATAGCCTGCCATCTTAGAGGCACAGTTATACAAAAAAGAGAAGAGATTACAGTCAGACAGATGGGAAATTAGCAAATTAACAGAACATGAGAACAATTTATCTGCTTAAAGGGAATCATCAAAGCAGAATAGAGTTACAGAGTGGATGCTGTAGCTGGATTGAAATTGACGCTATCTGTCAACTGAAATGCTTTAATGAGAAGCGTGAGGATGAAAACCTTTGATTGTGTAATAGTTACTAAACATTGAGGTTGTGATGTGTTGATGTGAGCCGATCAGCAGTATGCTACCAAGGTGCTAAAAGGAAATGTACTCTTCAACTTGAAAGTATTCCATTTGTGTGTGCAGTTAAAATGTGGACCCCTATTTGTATTGTGTCCTCATAACCAGTTTGGTTTTGTCTTGTACTCTAATTTGATGAAAGAGACAACAGAAACTCTAGCAATGTCATGTATAAGAATGACTGGCCTTTTAAACAAACATAAATTATCATAATTGTTTTGCTTTTTTTCAAGAGTGTGTGGTTGGGGGGCCAGTGTTTTCACAGATGATTGACTTGCTGAGTTGTAATGTACTAAATGTTCAGTATTTTTAACAGATTGTACACGCTGACCATCCAGTCTATATGAAAGGTTTTGTCTCACTTGCCGTCCTAGCCTCATATTTATTATTCTTTGACATTTTCCAGTCAAACGAAATGCCTGTGGAGCACCTCTATTCAATCGCTTGTTTTTATCCACTTCCACATCAGTCAGCTATTCTTCCATCAGCCCCCCGATGGACGTGACATTGTGAATGCGCCTGTCACAAGAGAAGAGCAGCTGATAAAAAAGAGGGTTACCAGAACTGTGAAAACGGCACACAGGTCAGGACTTCCTTTGGCTCTGAATGAAAACACCCATAGTGCTGAATGGATTGGATTCAGACCGAGAATCTTTATCACAACGCCTGTGGGTCCATCTGCCCCCCTCCCCCCGCCATGTTGAGTAGAGGACTCAGACAGAAGCAGAGGGAGCTGTCTGCATCTGTGTCCCTGAAGGATGTGTGTGTGTGTGTGTGTGTGTTGTCACCTTGAACATCCATCACTGCTCTTTCTTTTAGTTCTCTCAGGAAATATTGTGTTGTCGTGGCAGGGATGAACACTTTTGAGGTCATCTCCCTTCTTGGTGGCACGGCTGGGAAACGAACCGATGAAAAAGATAAACCTGGTGAAAATGATTTGGAAAAAAAATGCCATTACAGTTTTTTTTTGTAAATGCTGTGAGTGTTTGCTTGAGCTTGCTCCAAGAACCAGCTGGGGAGTTCTTTTTTCATTCTTAGGCTAACCAGTTGGTTCTGGTTTGGCAAGCGAGCTCACTCAACCACAACATCGTATTTGATTGTATTTGGTGTAGTTTGATATCCCATTAGAGGTACCACTACCAGGCTAAACTTATGTAAAACAAAGCCATCATCAGTATGATCCATTGTAGAGTGTAGATCTTACACTTTTATATCAGTTTGGGTATAAAATCCAAATGTGTTTGTTTGTAATGTAAAGCTGCAAAGTTGTATATAAAAGTACAATAAAAAAAAACATTGAATGTGCAACAGAGGTTTCAATCATTATTGTATTCAATGTCTCTGTCACTTAACACAAAGTATAGCTGAGGTTGAAAGCAATTTCATAGCAATCCATCCAATAAATAAGTAAATACATATTTCAGCCAGCAAGTGGTGGATCAACCAACCAGACATTGCTACAGAGGCATGCTGCTTAAATGGCTCAAATCCCCCAAAATCGGTCATGTAATGTTATTTACCAACCCTCCTGCTATGTATACAAGAATACAGGTAGAGAGTAGAGATGTGTTGGGAATTTCTAAAACTGTATGCCAAATGATTACAGCCATAAGCTTGATTTCAGCTGAAGACCTTTGATTGTAGACCCTCCTTCATATCTCTGAGTCCTGAATGTCTTTTCAGACTGAATCACCGTCATCTGAGAATGAGTTATTAGCTCCTTCAGCCTCAGAGTCGCCGCATTGTTTAGCAATGAAGACCGCATAACGCTGAAGGCAGCACCCTTTGATAAAAAAAAATTCATAGGTTGTCTCTGACGCTCAAAGAGGTTCCACCTGAAAATATGAAGCCAACAATCAGCCAGCTGATTCAATCCGTGAGCAGACTGCACCTTTGGTTTATACACATTGAATAAAAGAGAGCCCAAAAGACAGAGAAAAAGGACTATTCAGCCCAGGCTCAATCCTTTTAACTTCTCAAGGCTGTTGCTATGTTCATATTAAAAGCCCTGCGTCATGTACCTGTTTATATCAAGGACCACCAGTTTCTCTAGGTAGGTAAGAGTGCCTTATATAACAAAACATGACATTGCCTTGCTTGATATGTGTAATTATGCTGTTGAAATATTAATTAGGTAAAAGAGGACATGTATGTGTTACGGTGTGCAGGAATCAGGACCCAAATGCAGATATAACTCCTTTATTTCAAGGCTACAAATATACAATAAACAGAGACAGAACGGAACACTCACCGATGAACTGGTCATTACACAAGACAACCCGACAAAGAGAGACAGAAAACCCAGAACTTAAATACACCCAGGACTAATCAAACAAACACGAGACAGGTGAGGAGGGAGGAGAAAACACAGAGGCACCAGGTGAACACAATCGGGTAATCAGGGAGGGAAACAGACAAAAAGCAACAGGCAGGAAATGGGGGTGAACACTTTACAAAATAACACAGGAAACCAAAGATAGAAAAAGACAAGACAAAACAACAACACAGACAGATCCTAACAGTACCCCCCCCCTCAAGGGACGGATCCCAGACGTCCCAAAACAAAACAAAAAATCCAAAACCTCAAGCAGGGTGGATGGAGGGGGTCCGGAGGAGGGACGCATCACTAAGCCACCAGGGTGGGTGGAGGGGGTCAGGAGGACGGGACTGAACTGACCGCCCAGGGGTCCCCCTGGGCGGTCCCCCCCTTTTCATGTACTGAAAAGCTTGCCGTGTGATTTCAGAGACGATCAGAGATGCTGTCATCTGTTTCCGTGTTTCTCATTAATTCTTGGTTGACATGAGGTGATCCCTCTTGTGTGAGACACTTGAATCGTCAATATCGTGTCACCAATCGCCCACACTTAGTTTGGACTAGTGCATGGAGGCTCTGCAGCTGTTTGGTGTTCCTGCAGTTACCAGGAGACCGTGAGCAAATGAAGCAGGTCAGGGGTCACAAAGACACTATTATAACATGCTTAGAGACAAGCGGTTGCTCTCACCTCTTCCTCCTCCTCTGGGAGAAAGGCAGTTTCGCTGCAAGTGTTTTCAGGTGGAACGCGATAATGAACACAACTGTCTCTCATCTCTTCTCAACCCGCACTGTGGGGTTTCTTTTTTTAAAGCTGGCGATTTGGTTGATTTGTCTTTGATGATCAATTTCCTGGTTCAGTTAGCTACTGATGGTGTTTACAGGAAGTACTTTTGCTCTTTCATAATACATTCATTTTGTAAAAAGGGTAAGATATCAGCCTGGCAGTGTTAATTCTTTGCAAATCTCTTTTATTCACACACATTGATAAGACAGAAAACAACACAGAAAATACTCTCCCTTTACATCTTGCCTTAGCTGAAAATGTCTTGCCATTTAGTGTGCTAAAAAACCCAGATTAGAGTGAGTGTTGCCAGTTGAAAATGGGCCAGAGTCCTCCCTAAAATGGGGCACATGGTTTATAAAAAGCCTACCCATTTACTCAAGTATTTCATAGGGAAAAGGTTGATTGTGCCTTTGAGATGAATCAGGATTTAGGGAATTAAAAAAACACAAAATTAAACATTTGTGTGCGACATACAGCGTGTCATAGCCACTTGTAGGATCCAAATGCAAGTTGATGTATATTTAGGGACATTAAGAAGGCAATTTTTAATAAACTCAAATATATAAAGTTACTCTCTCTACTGTGCTGCAGAGCAAATTACATATTTGTGAAGTTAACATCTTATTTTAAAGGTCCTTTGCAAGAAGCTATTTCTCTGTCTTTCTGAATCTGGATCAGCTGCATCAGGTGGGACCCTTGTCTCGGGCCTTAAGTGCTGATTGGCTGAGTAAGTAGATCAGCTCATCCAGACGACTTCTAATATAGTAGTCCAGCCCCCTTCACCCCACCCCTTGTGAACTCCCCTGGCACACAGTGCAGGAGACAATTCAGCTGCATGGGACTGTATAAAAGAGACAGAAAATGTTTTAGATAAATTAGAGATTCATAAATAAATGATCGCGCTGTCAATACTTGTTGGAAGTTTTAATTAGATGTTTCTCAATCAATATACTGTGCCTGAACTTTAAAGTGTCTGATCTTGACCTGACCCTTGTGGACAGAACTGCTCGAGAAATAGTTGTGATAGGTCTGAACTCTTCCCTGTACATCTTCATTTTGTAGCTTAATGGCCTCAACACAGCAAAGGCAACTTGGGAGGGAGAGAAAGCAGAGAGAGGAAGAAACTAGGGCACTGTTAACTGGCCCCTTTTTACCAAACATCAGGCACAAAGCAGAGAAAGAGAAAGAAAGAGCGGTGGACAGGAGAGGACTTCAAGAGTGAAGTGAAGCTGTAGACAAGACGAGGAAACCTCTGGAGTCAACACCCGTCGTCTAGACAAACAAGACAACCTTGACTCTCACCTACCCGTGTCACACACACGTGAAAACTTGTGCATGTGCACAGACTTTGCGCACATTTAAAACAGCAACATGTTTGAGGAGCAGGCGACCAAGGTTAAGATCACTTCTGTGGTGATTGTGGTGGGCATGGCGACGATGCTGGCGGCGGTGGTGACCGACCACTGGGCCGTGCTCAGCCCCCGGGTGGAGAAGCTAAACGCCACCTGCGAGGCGGCCCACTTTGGCCTCTGGAGGCTCTGCAAGAAGATCATCTTCATCGTGGAGGAAGACCCTCAGGGCAAAGGCTGCGGTCCCATCAGCCTACCTGGAGGTACTAAGCGATTCGTTCTTACTTAATCTGACTGTTTGAGGATTTTTGTGCTTACTGTTAAACTTCATGTCAGGGGGACAAAAAATATTAGACAACAGAAAAATATTTCTTTCTGTCTGCTAGCTGTCATATACTAACTTAGATTTTTTTCAGTACTGTATGTGAATTTCAACTATGTAGACCCGGTGGTCACAGCATTGATACCATAAAGTAATTTTTTTAAATTATATTATATTTGGGACATCAAATGCAAATATTGCTTTCATGTCTAATATATATGCTCAATAGAGATAAAGGAGTGAAAGAGCAGGTCAAAAGTCAAGTTTCTTTCCGAGCACTTACAGTCAACCTTTTCTTCCACTCTGTGTTTCATTCCAAACAGACATATGGTTCTATGGCCAGCTTCTCACAGAAACTATTATTATCTTCCATAGAGGAAGTCTCTGAACAGACTACCAATTTAGCACAGTCGAGCAGTTAAAGTCAAGTGTGTAATGGAAGAGCATCGCTGCTGTACTTCACAGCTAACATAACAAAGACATCAATCTGTTCTGTCTGGTCTGATGGACTCTCAATGGAAAATTAGACATAAAAGCCATTTTTGACCTAGGAAGTGTTATGTAATTTTTCAGCATACTCTTTATAGACTAAAATTAATGGATGCTATATAACTCTTAATTGCTTGCAGTGTCACAGCAGATCTGAAGTTAATATGAGATATGCTTTAAAGGAATGCAACTAATTAAAGCAGGATTTTCTGATGCCACTAACAAACCTTTGAAAAAACTATTTGAAATAACTTGCTTGATTACAAGTTATGAAAAAATAAAAATAAAAACTGTGATATGCTGCTTGGTGCAAGTCAATTTTAGAAATGATTTCCTTTCCTTTCATATGTTGCATAGAGTATGTGTTTTAGTTAAAAAAAAGTCAAAGGCATTCGGTGTTTAAATGTATGCTCCGCCAGGAAAACCTTGTAGCTTAAATTACTAGCCCTTTTTGAACAGAGCGAGCACTGGGACAAACAGCGTCTCGTTTGCCTCCGGCTGTGTGCGCATGCCTTGCAGCCTAACAGAGAGATTTCAGTCTGACTCTATCATTGACTTAGCCTCCAGCTCTAGCTCCTCAGGATCAGTACAGGCCTTAATGAAGTGTAGCTTCACACTCCAGCTCATGAGTTAGAGTACACCTGGAAGGCTCAAGAGGGATGAAAGGGATTGTGAAAGAAAACAGATGTCTGTGTGGGTGAATCGAGTAGTATTCATAGAAGGGGGGTGGGGGCTTTCCAGTGATAGGAGGTGATACTGTACACAGAGGACGGAAAGGTAGATAGACAAAAGTTGTGATAGCTCCCTGACATAATGATGTGACACATGTGGGGCCTCCAGGACACCTTTTTAGCAATGAATGAGAGGCACATTTAATCTGACAGACTCTAACCTCACATAAGATGAACAGCAGTATAACCCTCACAACCTGACAGACAAAAACAGTGTCATAATGTGTCCAGAATCGGCTTCTGCTATACTCTGGGATGACAAAAAAAAAGACATCAGACAAACTCCTGTCAGAGAATGAAAATAACCAATGTTTTTACATAGACGTATTTGGTTACATTCCCATAACCACATTAATGTTTCTAAACCTGGGTTATGTGGGAGATTTGGTGCGTGACTAGGCAGCCTGTGGCTCCCACACTGGGCACAAATCATTTTGGTGGTTATACAAGATGATCCGTACTGATTTGTGGTCCAGGTGACATCAAAAATAGGCCTGTAAGTGTGGGGGTGTGTCCCTGAGTAAAGAGGACATTGGGTGAGATGCTGATTGGTCCATTAACAGGTTAAGAAAGTGAGTTGCATTGATGGTCCTCACCAGGCAAAGCTTATTTCGCTTCTCCATTGGCTGAGAAAAGGCATCTACAGGTTTCCTCTCAACAGGTGCTTCTATCTTCTGGCTCCTCGCTAGTCAATCTGGTTGATGCAGTTCGACAGCAGAGAGAATTACAGCCACTTTCTAGCTTAAGCCGGTCTGTTTCCTTTTTGATAAGAGTGATATCAGGAATGGCAGCATGGCTGAGCATGTAAGGCTTGGCTGGATTGCACACTTTGAGTGCAATTTTACATGAATAATAATGTTTCACATGGGATAAATTCACGATTTTTCTTTTAAGGTTGAAGTGTTTGCACTTAACAAGCCAGCCAGCCTTAAAGCAACACCATGAACACATCATGATGAGATCTACAACATGGACTGGTTTCTACTTTTGTAGCTTCTTTCTACATCTCAGAAATCAACATAAAATACAAAGTAAAGAGAACAGTAATAGTTTTTGATGGTCATATGTTTTGTTGGCCACTGAGATATGTCTAATGGACTGGCTGACAACACCATATCTGTCACGATCACAGGTACAGACCAGAACCCAATAGCACGACACAGATACAACCAGTGTTTTGCAATGTTCAGTTCATTCAGGTCTGGGACAGGCAGGGTCAAAACCAGGAAGTCCGTCAGACAGACAACCAAAACCAAAAAGGGAGCAGGCAGGAACTCGAGATCCGAATACAGGCAGGCAGGGGTAAAAAACCGGGCAGGACAAAAATCTAGGCTAGAGAATAACACACACTGGAGAGCTTGGCGGAAAAGACAAGACAATCTGGCAAAGGACCAGTGATAGTGAGGTGGTATAAATACTGTGGGGTGATGAGGGAATGAGTAACAGTTGAGGGGAAGGGCTGGGAAGACCAGGTGAGGGAAGTGAGCTGATTACAAGGGCCTGGAGGAAGGCGGGATCTGAAATGACAGGAGAGTTAAGATGAGCCAAACCAAACAAACAACAATTGATGTGTCTAACTTGTGACAATATCAGTTTTACTTATCTGCTTCTTAATTTAATTTGCGTTCATGGTCAAGTGTTTAGTACATCACCACATTGTAAAAAAAAAACGAAATGAATCAAGAATGCACCATAATACATTACGACCTTGATGAACACTATACCCAAGCAGGCACCAGTGATTGAGTCCAACAACACACATTTGCATTTTCCCAAAAAGAGGGGGAGTCAGTCTTCAAGAGACACAAACACTTTTCATAGGCACAGTGGAACTGCTTCTGTGAAAAGGTTGCTTGACAACGGCAGCAAAGCAGTGAACCAAAATGACTTTTGAGATGAGCTTCCCACAAATGAGGCATGATGGCTTAAGTGCTGTAAAGGTCAAACAAACCCTTTATTTTTACATCAGGCATCTCGAAAGGGAAATAAAGAGCGTTAATGGTGCTTTTTCAAAACATATGTGTGCAAGGAAAAGGAAAGGAGTTAAACGTTAGAGATGTTTAAGAGCTTAAAAGTAGGAAAGTGTTTCTTTCCTACATTAGAAAGCAGCCAGAACGCTCCAAAAATAGTTTCAATTTTTTCAGTGACACAACACTGGTGCCCCAATTCATTCCCTTGAATCACCAATGCCACCTTGAACTACCACTTTCACTTTCCAAACAGTAATCCAGTAACTTTCCTCTCTCGCTTTGGATTCAGAGCCAAAAATGTGGAGGCGTTGCTTTGGCATTCAGAAAATGAGAGTAAGGTTCAAAATCTGAATGAATCACTCCACAGTATGCAAATGTAAAAGGGAGAAACCCTTCCAGGATGAGATACTCGGATGTAGTTTTGGTTGAAAATTATAACTTTAATGTTTTGAATGTCATAATAAGAGTCAGGCCGCATTTACACACGCACACACACACACACACACACACACACACACACACACACACACACACACACACACACACACACACACACACACACACACACACACACACCACACACACACACACACACACTCATACATGGATTTATTCACAAGGGCTCCTGTGCTGTGTCCCAGTTATCAGACCTCCAGAGGAATAGCCATTCAAATAACACCACCACCCATCTTATTCACATTGACCCAGAATTAGTGGGTCATTCTGGGTGGCTACAAAAAGAACAGGCCCTCCTCATGCTTAAAAATCTTCTGTAACACTCCTGCAAGAGATATATGAGTTATTTTTTAAGAGCAATATGAGTTCTAATTTTGGTGAAAACATGAGTACCAAAGGAAAAGGAAAATCACATACATACTAAACTGGAAGAATAATCATAGGCCAGTTGAGTTGTAGGAGAGAGACAGGTTTAATGATGTAGAGATGGAGGCATGGAGAGGAAGGTAAGGCTAAAGGAGAATCTGCATATCAAACAGAGGAAGGTGGCAGCAGAGTTTAGTCGAAAGAGGCAAAGCTAAAATGACAGGCGGTACTTCGTTCTAATCGCTGTCCCTCACTGGAACTAAATCTCCTCATTAGCCTGACTGCAAGGTCAATGATACACACCCAGATGTTGTCCTCCTCCTCAGTGAATGTTCACCAGCTAAAGTTACAAGACAGCTTTGTTTTGAACCTTACAAAATATGTGCGATAACAGTAAACTTTACAAGTATAATGCGTCAAGGACAAAACCTGGAAACAAAGGTTCTCATTCATAACACTCCGTTCGATGTCTCACTATGGGATGCGCCTCATCGCGGAGCAAACAGAAGCATCAATCTCATTACGCCAATCCTGATTGGCTGGTGATCTTGACGTCAGCGTCAGGGAAATCACCCCCTATAAGTAGCTTGCGCCACGACGCATGCGCCATTCAAACACCTCTTCTCGCTTCAGAGCACATCTCTATGGTAGCCGGACAAGCTTAACGGTCCACAGACTGAACCCAAATATCCATTTCGGTCGACGGGCGCTCGCCGGCTACTCCTTCTGCTTCGCAGGAAGACGGTAATTACTAACGCTAGTTATTGTTGAAATCGACCTCGACGCTCTCTTTCCCCGGAAAGAAAGCTAGGTCTGACTTTTTCAAGCTAGCGTTAGCTTGCTCCCTCACTACCGACACCACGGTAGCGAGGAAGTTTTTTCTTTTCTCTTCCCCACGGAGGAGGAAAGGATTAAAAGGAGCATACTGC